CAACTAGAGACAATGGAAGGAAAACAATTACCAAACAATTGGAACATCAGCCACCCCAAATACTTCAACTTTTAAAATGAAGAAGTGTCCCCAAGTCGTACTCGTTTTCCCTCACTTGAGTTTTGTCCCATTAGGATTTTCTCAAGGAGGTTTTTAATGAGGCGACATAAGAGACACTTCGAGTCGAAGTATGCGAAGAACATACTGATTTCTCTTTCATTGTCTGAATCCTCAAGGCTCTCCAAGTTGAACAATGAAGGGACTAGACATACTGGGACTGGGACTGTAATGCCAGCCAATGACCAATGTTTGTAACTTTCTCCAATTATGTAATTAGAGCAACAATGTCAAAGTAATAGAAACTTACGTTTATCAAAACTATCTAAACAAAACACCTACCGGCCCTCGACCGTGATTTAACAAAAGGTCAAGTTCAACCATGCTCGAACAACACCTACAGGCCCTCGGCCGTGATTTGATAAAAGGTCAAATTCGACCACGCTCAAATAAATACCTACTAGCCCTCGGCCATGACTTGATAAAAGGTCAAATTCGACCACGCTCGAACAAACACCTACCGGCCCTCAGTCACAACTAGATAAAAGGTCAAATTCGGCCACACCTGGATAAATATCTTCCAGCCCTCGGCCACGACATAACGAAAGGACAAAGTTTGAGTAAGCTCGAAAATGTCTATCGGTCCTCAATCACGTCTCGATAGAAGGTTCAATTCAACCAAACAAAATGTTAAGTTCGACCAAGTTCAAACAAAGACCTACCGCCCCCCGTCCACGATTTAACAAAAGGTTAATATCGACCAAGTTCAAATAATACCTATCGGTCCTCAACTAATGAGACGTACTCAATTTATACAGATAAAGGGACGATTCGATATATGGTTATTCAACCCAAGGACTACAATCAGCTAGAGGACAACAACAAAAAATATAAAGGAGCAAAACATTCAAGTACATAAACAAATCACGACAAATAAGAAAGGCACAAGTGAAAGAAATAATCAACTTTGATATTCATAGATAAAAGTTTATGAAGGATCTTGGGGACGCCAAACAAAAACACAAAAAATGTTTAAAAAAACTACTGGACATTGCCATCATGACCCATAATGGCTTCATCAGCCCGACCTTTAGCAATGTCACCACCATGACCGTCAACACCATCACCGTCCTGGCCTCCAGCGTCCTCTCCATCCTCTCCCTGAGGGTAAATAGTATCGTAACAGGTATCCTCCTCAAGATGATCCATGGAATCCTCCTTATCCTCATCCTCTTCACCATGCCGAGGCGTAGAAGGGTCGTAGCCACAAGAAAGCCAAGCCCCGCAAGCCTTGACCCGAGCATCCTTAAAGGCCGCCCCAGAAATGGTGCCCGTCGCATGCAACTCATGAAACACATCCAGTCGGGCATCGACATGAGTCCATTCTTCATACAGATCACAGGGGTCATTGGGGAATCCATAAGCATTAGACGAAGAAGGCCGCGCAAGCAGTTGGGCCTTCTCGGCCTCCAAAAAAGCAACTCGATCATAAAGATTGAATTGTTAAAGCCAGTTAGTGTGATGCAGTGTGGCACTATCTTGTCCTTGGGTCTCATCTGGGTGAGGACTCGAGGATGGATAACGTATGATCCACTCCCGTCATCCACCATGATATGCTTAACATCAGTATCTAAAATTTGTAAAGTAATGACAAGAGCATTGTTGTGGGGGAAAGTCAAACTGTTGGCATCTAACTTTTAGAAAATGATACTTTCTTCGAGTTTGTCATACCGTTCGTGGGTGATCTATCTTTTGAGCTTGTGGGTAGCGGTGAACTTAATACCATTGATGGAGGCATCGTCGTTGCCGCCAATAATCATGATGGTGTGGGCAGCTTTGGCGGGTCTTGACGTTCTCGACCCCTGGCGAAGGTGTTCCTCCCCTTGTCGCTCTTTGAGGTGTCCTTGCTGTAACATGTTCACAACCTCTTGCCTTAGGGTGATGCAATCTTCTGTCTTGTGCCCATGTTCCTAGTGGAATTCGCAGAGGGCGTCAGATTTTCTAGTACTTGGGTCGGACCTCATCTTTGGCAGAAACTTCACCTTCGTTCCGAATTTATCCAGGGCGTAGACTATATATGTAGGAGACACACAAAAATTGTTTGTAGATAACAAGGGGCATACCTCTCTCGTTCCTGTGAGTCCCCATCCTCGGCTTAGATGGTCCATCATCATAGCAGAAGGAAGGAGGGGCGGGGAGCCTGACGTAAGGCTGATGTCATTTCCTGTTTGGCCGTGAGACTGGGTGATCCCTCCTTATGTTATCTCTTTGTTCTCTCCTGGGCTCAGCTTGTACTGAGATGAGCCGTCGAGTTGGTCTGTTAAGGTCGTCATCATCTGCTTGGACTTCGACACAATAAGCATTATGAATTTCGTCCCAAGTGGTTGGAAGGTACTTCATCAACTGGCTCAGCAACTTTCTGGTCGCTCTTGAAGCCTCTCTACTCAACCCGTTCTGAAAGGCTGCGACTGCCATCCCTTCGGACACATTTGGTAAGGTCATCCTTACCCTGTTGAATCGGGCGGAGAAGTCCCTTAGTCCCTCTCCTAGGGATTGCTTGATGGCGAATATGTCGTTTACTCTTGTTTCATCTTTCTTGGTCCCGTTGTGCGCCGTCACGAACTTGTCGGCCATTTATTCGAAGACTTCTATAGAGCTGGATGGTAGCCGTGGATACCATGTTAACACCCCTCCAGTGATGGTTTCGCCAAATTTCTTCAGCAAAATAGAGGACACTTATTCCTTGGTGATATCGTTGCCCTTCACGGCGGTGGCCTAATGAGTCACGTGATCTTCGAGGTCAGTTGTTCCGTCATAAATCCTGAGATATGGTGGCACTTTAAAGGTCTTTGGTATGGCATGTGGGGTTGCTTCCTCGCTATACAGCTGCTCTACAAATCTTCCGGTGTCCCTCTTTGGCACTAGCTTAGGGGCACCCGGTATCTTGTCGACCCATTCTTGGTGTTCTTTTATTTAGTCTCTGAGAGTTTTGTTCTCATTCTCCTTTTCTTTCATTCTCCTCAGAACAACGGCGANATGAACGAATGCATGAGGTACCACTTTTTCGTAATTATTCATTCTTTGCACCTTCTCTGCATCAGCGGTTGGAGGGTCTGGTTGGACGTCGTCACCTGCATTGTTAGTAATATTATGAGTTATACCTGGCGTTGGAGGGTCTGGTTGGACGTCGTCACCTGCATTGTTAGTAATATTATGAGTTATACCTGGCGTTGGAGGGTCTGGTTGGTCGCCATGTTCGTATGCTCGTTGTACCGTTTGGGCTCTTGCGGTCTCTATGGTCATGCATGGACCTTGTTTGTTGAGCACGCTTACTAATGTATCGGTCAACCACGTTTCGAGGAGCATTTTCATGGCCGGTGGCGTCCCCTCTCCTGTGGACGTCGAGGCCCCTTTTCCATTTGGTTTTGTCGTGCTACAATGGGGTGAGGTGACCTATCGCGCCAGGGGGGCGATTGGTGTCACGTCATCACCCAACATTTCATAACTCGTGTTGATATCATTCATGAGGCTTCCAGGGATGTCACCTGTCACTTTAGTCATGTCTCCTTGGTTACCTGCCATGTAAATTTTAGTACGTGTAGAGAAAGAGAAAAACCTTGTGATTTGTTAGGTTAGCAACTCACGTGAGTTGTAGATCTAAAAGAAACCAAAAGATTAGCTAAGAAGTCCCCACAAATGGAGACAAATTGTTTGACCCAAAATTTAGATCTGGGTTTACCGAATTAGATTTAATAAAATAGAGTAAATCTTAGCCAATATTAATGTCTAAAAGATATGTTAACTGATTTTGTAGTTAGATAATATGTATATTATCTGAATTGCAATAAATGTTGACAATACTAACAATATCTAATGTCCCAAAAAGAGGGAAATATCATTAAGTAATAATAAATAACAATGAATGTCATTTAAGTAAATAAGAACGTGTGAAACACCCGAAAAGGGGTGAGATCTATGGATATTCATTCTGACAATGATGAATGATTGATGAGCCTTCGAATGTTGAGATTGTTCTTGGATCGAGTGAAAAAGTTAGGCAAGAATCTTAGGAAAAAGGTATTTTCTTATAAATGAATATTTTATGTCCCCTATCCTTGTATCTCTTTTCTATTTATAGGGAACACATACCTAAAAAAAACCTAATAGTACAGGTATAGAGAATATCCATTAGAATATTCTCTTTTGATGTCTTATTATAAAACTAGTTGTTATTCACTATGTCTATGGTAAGTGCTTGACCTCGACCTTTATCTTCGCTAACACTTCGACCTTGATCTTCAATAGCTTCATCAGCTCTGCCCTTCATGTTTTAGAGACCACTTCGACCTTGGGCATGCCTTTATTGAAGTCGTACTGGTGACACGTGGCAGCCCACGAGGGCCTTCTTAATGCTAATACACTTTGATCATGTCAAAGGTAATTTTGACCCATACAATATCTACAAAATGTTTCCTTGAATTTATGTACTTATCTGTGGCAGGATGAGTATTGTTCTTAGATTAGCAGTTCTCATGTCATATTATCATAATTAATAAGGGTGTACATAGGTCGGGTTGGTTCGTATTTTTCAATTATCAAACCAAACCAATGGTGTCGGGTTTTAAATTTATAAACCAAACCAAACCAACAAAGTCGGATTTTTCAATCTCGAGTTTTTGGGTTTTCAGGTTTTTTTCCNATATATATATATATATAGAAAGTTATTTTCAGCTATTATGAATAATCACAGTTCATGTCACTTCATTTAAGCCCGCCATAATCAAATACATTTATGTATTATGAGGATTCATCATAAATTGACTAGTTTTACGCTAACTGTCAACCTACTGAAAATCTTCTTTATTCGGGTAGGGACCGGCAATGTAAGAGAGTTATTTATATTTATTGGACCAGAAAATGAACATTTGATCTATAGTGTACTTTGTAGACTTTACCTACCTTCTCTATAAATTCCATTACTAAACTCATCTTCCTCCTCTACCGACACCACTCTCTGTAATGGCTTTAATTCTTCTCATCTAACCCTCATTTCATCATTCATTTCTGTGTCTCCCTTTATCAGAACTTCTGCAACTTTTCTTTTTTTTTTTGGTTTAATTTTTCTTACAAATATTAATATTCTGTGACAGAGAAGAACATGGTACAATCAAAGAAGTTCAAAGGTGTCAGACAACGCCAGTGGGGCTCTTGGGTTTCTGAAATTCGCCACCCTTTGCTGTAAGTTCACTCCCCCACCCCACAACCAAAACTATAAGTACAGAAGCACTCCTACTTATTAACTTTCCCACATTCTTTTGCTCTGAGTATTTTCTCCAGGATATGAAAATGCTGCTACACTGTATCTTTACTAGTGCTATAAAAATGCCAACTTTCCCCTACAATTTAATGTTTCTTGAATTTCCAAATCTTTGTATACATGATCTCATTCTGTTCTAAGAGACCAAGTCTTTCTGCTTATAGGAAGAAAAGGATATGGCTCGGAACATTTGAGACAGCAGAGGAAGCAGCAAGAGCATATGATGAAGCAGCAATCTTGATGAATGGTCAAGTTGCAAAAACAAACTTCCCAATAGTGAAGGAGAATCATGTTAACAACAGTAATGACAAGAAATTCCCCTTATCTTCTTCATCAACACTGTCCACTGTGCTCAATGCAAAGCTGAGGAAATGTTGCAAATATCCAGCACCTTCCATGACCTGTCTGAGGCTCGATAACGATAATTGTCATATTGGAGTATGGCAAAAAAGATCAGGAAAAAATTCAGGTTCTAATTGGATAACAAAAATTGAGCTTGGGAAGAAGGAGGAGCCTCATCAAAGCCATGAGAGTATGAATTCTTGGTCTCTATCATCATCCTCTGGTTTTACATCCTCTTCATCTTCTTCTGAACTTGGAATAAGTAAGCCATTGGATGAAGAAAACAGAGCTGCTATGCAGATGGTTGAAGAGCTACTCTATTGGAATTCTCCATTTTCTTCTGCACCTATTAGTGATCTCTCTCCCTCTTTTTCCAACTCTAAGTGATAGCAAATGTGGGATGTAGTACATAGTTAATTAGGTACCCTTAGACC